AAGCCCAAGACGCGGACATGAAGGCTGCGCCTCGGCGTGTGTTTTCGCCTTCTTCCGTCTGCTATTCCGCCCCCCTTTAGGAACTTCTGAAACGCTCGCAAGACGTGATCATGAAAGCGACGTTCCACTGTTTCATCATGCACAAGCCACGGTCCAATACAAGCGTCTGTCAGTGTCTTTCGATGTGCGGTAAAATGCGACCGAGACGACAAAAACAATCAACAAAACAAATATTCATTCATTTCAACTTTTCTCTCCTTGGTATTTTTTCTTCGTGTGTCATCCGCGAGCAAGGTGGTTTAACGTCATGACGCACAGTTAAAACACCACCTAAAATGTTTCATTTGGCAAGCCAGGTACAGGTGCGCTGCAAGATTTAAGAGCTACTTGCCTTTCTAAGGAAAATGACGGGAACAGACCTAGACAAAGTAGATCAAAGCCGAACGCCTAACTGACGCTAGTCAAATGGCTCGCAAATTTTTACCTGTGTCGATATCTTCTCGGTGTTGAGACTATGGTCACAATCATGGCGGTTGTACAATTCAGAGAGCAGGGCTGCTTTTACGGGAACCAACATCCTTATTCAGCATGAACACGCGCAAACGAATAAATTAAGTTAGACCAAGCAAAATAGTTGACATGGCACGTTACGCTTAGGCCAGTCCAGCTACAAAAACAAGCGCCCGCAGAGCGCTTCTGGAGACGCATACTTGGGACAGTTATTTGTTGCAAACTACGTCGGCTGAGCAGGTCCTCGTCTAAACACCTGATGTGAATGCATAATGACTCGCACTCATAAAAACAGACGAGCGACGATGTTTGTTATCGTGTCAAATCAAACAGGAAAAAGCAATATCAAAAAACTTTTGAAAACAATATGGACTGTACCTGGATTATCTGTTTCACTAACAACAACAAAAAGGGCCGATCCAAACGCTATTCCGGCACGGAGATAATGGTTAACAACTGACCTCTTCCACGTCAATAGTCTCTCAAGCCGATAGGAGATACGAGCACGTTGTAAGCACGAAGCCGTGCTTGTAGGGGGCTGCGCCCTCCACCTTCTACACCTAAATTGCGTCTAGCGGCAGAACTATTTATATAAAAAATTGTGCGGTAATTGGTTTCCAAATATTACTTGTCCTGCCTAGGGATTAAGAAAAAATAGTTTTCCATTTCAGCGTACATTTAACGTGTACGCGTCAGTCCTAGCATGGCGACATTAAGGCTGGAGTTCATGCAGCCTTCATAACGCGAAAAAGTGTCGACGGTGGCTCGGCGACTTTACACGTACGTGCCGCCGTGAGATGTTCGATGGTTGTTTGCCGCATGTTACTTTATATACCTAGTCCAACCCTGAAGCCTATTTGCCTTGTGGCGTTCTTTCAATGCTTTATTTTTCACTTTTTTATCGTTTTGAGCGCTTTTATATTTTACAGCGTGTGAAAGAGCGTCCCCGGCATCGAACATCTAATTCACACCTGTGGCCCAGCGTTATAATATTTTATTTCGCTTTCGTTCACAATAGTATTAGGGACGCTTTAATCACTGTCATTAGCTGAGCGTACGGCATTCATGGCACGCCAATGGGCGTAGTCTAATGGAGTTCAAAGTAAAGTCATTCGAACCTGTCGTGTCCTAGATACGTGAACCTGCTACCCTCCCCTGTGAGGCGACACTGCGTAAAATGGGGAATATTTACTACGGAGTTTTTTTCGTAATTAAATACTTCATCTGAGAATTACGATACTTTAGTATTATTTGAAAATTTTGTTAATCCTTCGTGATTTTTATGTTACGTCAAATATACCACGTGACGTGCTGCCACAGCCTGTTCGGAGTGTTCGAAAGCATGTGTCGCCTGACAATGTCGCAGCCCTCGAAAAAAATGTGTCTCATCATGTCCGCTGCGGATTTGTAAATATTTTTATCGTTTGACCTTCCTCTCTGCGCGGGGGGGGGGGGGGGGGGGGGGGGGTGATCACTCGGGGGGGCAAAATAAATAAACGCGGGAGTGGTTTATCAATGATGTAGCTTCCACCGCACTGTCGGATTAGATGAACGGATTATATCAGCAAGAAGAAAGATTATTCAAACTCGTGATGCCTCTCCCTGTGCTATATTTCATTTACGCCTTCGTGTCCTTATTACTTTAAATAAACCATGAGGTGACGTTCGAAAGTTTTGATTAAATCTAACCACACACACATATATATATATATATATATATATATTAACTTAATTTTCGCGGGCTCAAATTTTCGCGAATCGGACTAAAGCTGAAAATTTGAAATTATTCGCAGGTTCTAATTTTCGCGAATCGAGTGTAGCTTCCGTAGTGTTCACATATTTGCCCGAATTGTTCCCGGGACGTATTTTCGATAATTGTAGGCGATTCGCGATATTCGCGAAAATTAGGTCCTCGCGAAAATTTAGCCGTTTACAATATATATATATATATGTATATATATATATATATGTTAATGGAACCCTGAAAAAAAAGTACCAGTATGCTGTACCTTCAAAGACCTCTTGTAAAGCCGTGTAGCGCGGCTTTTTTCTTGACTCCACCATTAGGTGTAAAGGAAGTAAACTGTTATTATACTACACAAAAAAAAAAAGAATTTTAGGAGTGATTGTATAAATTTCTTTTCTAAAGACAATCAACAGATATTTTGCGGACTAAAGAACATATTGTTTATTAATCTCCCCTTTCTTTCCTCCCCCTCTGAAAAGTTAGAAGGGGGAAATGAAGTCACGTGACAGGACTTCACGCGACATGGTCACGTGAAGAGACAGCGAGGTGTCACATTGAACTTTGGCGTTACGTGAGGTAAATATTCCCTCTAAAGCTTTGCGAGAGTGCATGGCAGAACGGATGCACATTTTCAAGATTAGGGAGTACCGTGAGAGAGCAATCCATCCTTTCACAAAAATGTGTTCCCATTTCAATACGTTAGCTTTAGCATGAATGTTTCACATATTAATCGGTTTTTGCCTGGACGGGAATTTAATTTTCCATTGAATACGAATACGCATGAAAGCTCGGTTTTGCTGATAGTTGTGGGAACCGAATCTCATTCGAGAATTAGTTTTTACCTTGTTGTTTGTTTTATGAGCTCTTACAACTACTTTTTTCTCGGATTAAAAAAAAATCAGAGCTATGTTGAAGTTTGTAGCGACGGTAAATGCCGCGATTGTCTTCGGAAAACGACGTCCGTTAACTGAGAGAGACCGTGGTATTAAAATATATATATATATATATTAATCAATCTCATTAGTGGATATAAGTTCGTAAGCGGAACACATTTTGAAAAGTGGGGTGCAGTTGCAAGCCTCACCGTCGCCATCTCTGTGCGTCTACCTCACACGTAAATTCTGGTTTGCACAAATAAGCGACTCCTATCATATTGATTCACAAATCTAATTAAAAGAGATCGTGGAGAGTATTTTTTTTTCTTTTTTGTCAGGAGACGAAGGCTCTGGAAAAATAACATCCTAAGACTCTTAGTTATAAACCGGTATCACCAAAGTAAAAAAAAAAAAAAAAAAAAGAACGCAGCTGAGATATTTTTACATTTCCAAGGCAAGAACAGTGGTGCAAAAACCATTCAAACTTCGCAAAAATGTCAAGGAAAAAAAAAAACAACCTAAAACGGTTCCATTATAAAAAAAAGGAAAAAAATATTAATAGTTGAGGCAAACTTGTAGAAACCACAGGGGTGATTATCTATGAATGCGATAGAATTTATCGGTGCAAACACGGGCAAGTGTTCGGTTACCTGCTAAATTTTGCAGGGAAACTGAATTTGTGCGAAGGACAGGTTACGTTAATTTTCCGCAGAATTTATCGGGGAATTACTGTTCGAGGCCAGAAAATACCCTCGCTGAAAAACAAACTTGGGTTGACTTAATGATGCTATCGCATTAAAAATAACTACGGGTTGGAATTTTTTCTAACAAAATAATTTCATTTTCTTGTCAGGAAACCAATACTCCCATTTGCGTTTTGTAAATGCGTGAACAATATTCGGATGTCCTGAACTCCACGTAAATTTTAGTTATGCTCTGGATCGCCCGATGGGATACGTCTGCCTAGCTTTGTCCAGGGGCCCTAATCTGGCCACCTGGCGAAAAAGAAGGCGAGAAATCCTGCGGCTCTGATTGCAGGCGCCAAGGTCAAGTGCGGAGTTGGCCAATCACGGCCGCCAGATTTCTCGCCGACTTTTGCGCCAAGTGTCCAGATTAGGGCCCCAGATCTGAAATGAGGCGCAATACTCGCTGGAGTACACGTCGAAAAAAAGCGTTTCCTACAAGTCTGGTGAAAACGCGGGGCTCGACGCCCAGCGCGGTGGCCAATCAAATCCGCCATAGCAGAAAGCCTTACTCAGCTACCCTGGAAAACTGCGGCCTGGAAAACTCAAACTTACTTTCATGCTGTCAAGGTCGACCCCCTACGCATAACGTCTTAATTGTTACCGGGTTTGTGCCTTTTTGTCCGGACGTCTAAACAGTCGTATTAAACCAAGACCCCATTACAAGCGCGGAGACCCGCAATTTTTATGTTATTCATTTTTTCCGGCTCAGTCGATTGCGAGTCATTTTGCGCACGCGCTTCCCTGACGCCTGGGTCACCGGTGCCAGACTTCCTGCTCACGCTAAAGACTCGCATTGCCTTCACTCCCACCAACTCTCTCTCCTCTTTTATTGTCTTTCGTCTCTAACGCGAATTATTAAAATGCAATCCAGATTTCTCTCTCGTTATTGCGCATCAGATAACCTAGATTGCTACAAAATGGCACCGTCAAACCCGCCCCTTCGTAGCTCTTCCTTGTTATTCAAAACAAGCCCGTAGACCTAAAAAAAATCTAAAACAAAAATAAGAAAAAGTACGAGAGGCAAAAAAACGAATACTACGAGCCTATCTACAAGCCGTCTTTCCCTCATAGCGGCTTCATGCAGATATAGTGTTACGCCGCCTAGTTTTTCCTTCAATCGAGATGCGGACGATCAAGATTGCGACGGCCCACCTGTTTCTCCTGCTGACGGGGCCGCTGTGGCTGGTGTGTGCCAGGGTGCCGCTGTTGATACTGTGCGCTCAAATCCTCGGACTCTTGGTTCTGGTCACGCACATCAGCTACTGGGCGGTCTGGATTCTACGGCGGCAGGTGTTCGTCAAGCTGGTCAGTGGGGACGGCAAAGCTGTGCTGATCACAGGCAAGGCTCAAAGAACCCCCGAGCGCTGCTGTGCCAAGGGTGTCTGAAAGTTGATGAAAATGCATCCTTCTCTTCCCCGTAACATTTGAAATTAGTTACCGCAGCAAGATATAGTGGGTCGAGTGGAAGGTTATACTGTTAAGGCGCGTAGTAATATATAAGACTGCGCTGAAGCAGCTTTTTTTGAGGGAAAACTGACCGCTCAATAATGGATGGGAGCCCTATTCAAATCCCTACAACAGGGTTCTATTTCATTTCTCCCCATGAATTTTTCATCTTTACATGACGCAAAGTCACCCGAAAAATCTGCTGACCGAGTGCGTAGGCGAGCGGTCGCTGGGGACACGCCCATGAATGGATCATACTGGAGGAATATTCAGGGCTGTGTCATTGATTGAAGGGATATATTGGGGTTAGCGTTATAGCGACGAGGAATATTAATGAATGTGTCATTTACCGCAGGATTATTTAGAGCGTTTTCAGCTACTTGATGAATACTCAAAGCCCCGTCGTTCTATGGTGGAGTATTGAAAGCCTTGCCATGTACTGGAGGAATATTTGGAACTATGCAATTTATTGGGGGGATATTTAGAGCTGTGCGATTTACCGAAGAAATAATCATAGCCGTGTCATTTAATGCGGAGGGCAAGTTCGTCTTGCGCAGGGGGTAGCGGTGACGTCAGAACGGCGAGCCCATGATTGGCTGATCGTGACCCCCTATCTGAGCGTCGTCTGCTCCTTTGCAACGTCGTCTGCTCGCAACGTCGTGAGCGTCTGTCATACCTTTCCTGCGACTTTCGCAAGTACAGGTCCTTACGAGCGAGCTCGACTTCACTTTTGCAGAGAGGGCAGAAGAAAAAACTCGAGCGGTACGTTGTTTTTGTCTACCTTTCCTGCGTCTGTCGGAGATTCACCGCTTTTTCACCGGCGAGAACGCGGCCTTCGAAAAAGATTTCTGTTTGTCATTTGTCCCTCTTATTCCCCTTCTCCAGGGATTATTTTCTTCATTCTTGTCCAGCTCGCTTGCATCTTTGCATTTCATAGCATTATAACAATAATAACATCTTGGAGTCAACGAGTCTACGACATAACTTCCGCGATACGTTCGACGCCGCTCGGGTAGCTCGATCGATCTTGCTTGGATTCTCTTCCAGAGATTAGCAGAGGTTTTCGAAATTTTGCCACTTGGGTTTACGGCACACATACATACCATAATACGCTAATTCACAACAGCCTTTTAGTCGAGCGAGAAGGTTGGGACAACAAGTAGCGATCGAGCACTTTTGGGCTATGATGCGCTCACACTACCGATCACACAGCCGCATTTGTTTATTAACAGTCACTACATGGGCTGTCATCTGTCTTTTGCTGATTATCTTTGAACAACTCATTAAACGCGAGGTACCATTCACGAAACTCGTGCAACTAAACGTCTTAACATAGCGATGAACATGGTGTTTACCTCTTACCTGAGTGAGCGACCTGCCGCGGCATGCAGCTCTTGGGGCGTTGCAGCCACTGCTGTGGAAGGTCCGTCTTGGACAGTCCATTTAGAGCCGCGTAAAGTGCGGTAGCCACCATGTGGCTGCACTTTGCGGCCCCGCGAGGGCACTCACAGTGACTCTCTAAATAGTCACATTTATCGGAGAGCGTCATCTTTACCGCGTAGCTACAATTCTTAAACGACGCCTGGACATTCGCAACTAGAGTGAAATCCTTCACCTCAAAAGAAAGGACGTATCTTCAAGGTATGTCCTTTCGCCTTTTTCGAAGGCCGCGCTCTCGCCGTTGAAAAAGCGGTGAATCTCTGACAGACGCAGGAAAGGTAAAGCAGCCATCGCTTTGACTAGCAGACGTAAAGCAGACGACGTTAACTGCGCCAACCGCGCCAACCCGCCGACGCCGTTACAGAGTGAGGAGTCTCGCCGCACACGAAAGGAGGGAAAAAGTATTTGGGAGGGAACTTGCGGATACTAACCACACTCACTCTCGGTTCTTAGCAAACAAACTTCGGTGCCTCGGTGCACCTCGCCAGTTAGTCCTTCGACTCTCTCCTTGATGCGCGTCTGCTAATTGTTAGACAAAAACAACGTACCGCTCGAGTTATTTGGTCTGCCCTCTCTGAAAGGCGAAGCCCAGCTAGCTCGTAAAGACCTGCACTTCCGAAAGTCGCAGCAAAGGTAAGACAGACGCAGACGACGTTGCGAGCAGACGACGTTGCAAAGGAGCAGGCGACGCTCAGATAGGGGGTCGCGATCCGCCAATCATGGGCTCGGCGTTCTGATGTCACCGCTACCCCCTGCGCAAGAAGCAGACGAACTTGCCACGCGCATAAAGAAATACTCATAGCTGGGGTCAATATTTGGAAGGGTATTCAATGCCGCGGCTTTTACCGGTAGAATAATATAATATGCCATTTACTTGCCAAATAAACAAAAATTTGCCGTTTAAAAAAAAAATTGAGATCTGTTATTTACTGGATGTATATTCAATGTCTGCCATGTACTTGATAAATATTCAAAGCTGCGTCGAAATTCTTGGCCGAATTATCTAAGGGACGCATATTAAAATCTTTCGTTTTCTAGAATAATATTCATAGGCCTGCCATTCACCGGAGAAATTAAGAACTGTATCATTTTTTTATAGAATAACAAAAAACACCTGTGTAATTTTTGGGAGGTATATCTAAAGCCGCGTGTTTTCCAAAAGATTATTCAGCGCCATTTGACTCTAGAAATATCTTAGCGGAACATATTCGTCGCAGGACTGATCAACGATGGCGAAACGCGCTTCTCTTTTAAAATCGACGTCTCGAAATAGAGGCATATATCGTTATCCCTCCTAATGAGAATTAGCCTCGCATCGTAAACAACGCGGAATTGTTTCTCTGGAGATTATTTTGTGCTTTGTGTGCTCCAGGGACTTAACGTTGATATATATCAGCCTTAGGAAAACTTAAAGACAGTGCTCCTCTTTGTGTTTCGAAGCACCAATATTAATGATCCTTTCGGTTTTGGGTCTTAATTAGAAACGTCTTTCGCGAGGTAAATATAGAGCTATTACATTTTGTAGCGTGAGCTACACTGGCCAAGGTTGAGCAGTTTCGCGTGGCTCGCATAATGAGCTGTGCTCCGTGCTGCGCAAGCGCAAGGAGCAGTGACGTCACACAGCGCACAGCTGGCGCGCCGGAGCCGCCGCCGGCGCGCTCCGCCGCAACCGCGCGGGCCTCGCCGGTCTGCACATTCCAGAGGAGTGACGTCATAGCCGCGGCAGACGCACTGGCACCACCGCGTGCCCAGCTGTGCGCCTCCGTTGCACAGTAGCCAAGTCTGACGCTGCACCGGAGCCGCTTGATAGCGCCTTTCATTTTGTGCGCATAAGCTCACACTACGTATATCCTGGCATGGCCGAGCTAAGCCACTGCATTTTTTTTGGAATATGTTTTTGACACATACGCTTCCTAACCTGGTTCCTACAAAAAAGTAAAAAAAAAACTTTTTCCTTCAGAGATTTGGGCTCCTGCACTCTCAGAAAAAAAAAAAGGGTATATTCTCGCACCCTTTGTCCCATATACGACACCCCAAAGCTCCAGTTCGGCGTTCAGCGCGCTGATGTGGAACCGACGGTAGCAACTTTCACAAGCGGCTTGATAGCCGAGTTGTACAACTTTTTCAAATAGCTAATGTGCTTGTTACTGACTACAAAAAGTAATCGGGGTTTTCTTGGCCACACTACAAAACATTAGAGTTTTTTTTTTTCTGTAGTCTTTGATACGTACTCTAGCTGTTAAATGAGGTGTATATCCCCGTTTTTAAGCCCCTCGTAAATGTTGTGGCCGTCTGTTCAACGTCAGTGCGCTGTACGTCAAACTGAAGTCTTGGGGTGTCGTTAATGGGACAAGGGGTGTAAGAATATGACCTTTTTTTCTGAGAGTGTGTAAGTTGACAGTACGGGGGAAGCTGCGGGCACGATATTGCGTCTGTAAATTTACATAATCGAACAACCCTTCGCTCTAGGAACGCACGATTCAAGGCAAGTTGTGCACGCCAACTCCGCGCTTGTGTTTTTCTCCGCTCTGTCAGCTTAAACCTGAACAGGTTACACACCTCGTGCCGAAACCCGGAGCCCGCTTTACGTGAAAGGGTGCTCATACTGAAGTGTAATTTTCCCTTCCGATTTCAGTTAATATCTCTGTCTCCTCCTCTAACTCAAGGTCGAACCGCATCTTTTGTAAACGTCGCACTTCCCGGTTCTTTCGCTAGTGGTTCGCGTTTAAGTGCTTGCACCCTTAACTTGCTTATTTCATGCGAACAGAAAATAACCATTCTTCTGAGAGTCAACAAGGCGTACGTTGCCAAGATAATTGCGCGAGAAGGACGCAGGATAGACAATGAGCTAGAAGCGCTCCTTAATAGTCCTTTGGGGCAGATCTGCTACACGTACACTATTAATGTGGGGCCACCTAGGGAGCCACCTATAGCCGTGACAAATGAGATCCAACTTGTCACGGCAAATTTTGGGGCCAACTAAAATCGCCAGCCTGTTTTCCGTGCCTTTTAAAGAGCAGCTCTTAGGGGCCCGTTTCCGGCTTGATGGCGTCGGCGTAACCACGAGGTCGCGGGACCCCCCTCACCCCGAGGTCACGTGACCCCCGCAGGGTCACGTGACTCCTCCCCACAGTCAGGTGACCACCCCCGAGGTCACGTGACCCCTCCCCCAGGGACACGTGGCTCCCCCCACGGTCATGTCACCCCTTCCTCCCAGGGTCACGTGACCCCCCTGTCCCGAGGTCACGTGACCCCCCGAGCTCACGTGAGATTCCCCCCCCCCCCCACGAGGTCACGTGAACGCCACGAGACGTGACCCCCCCCCCCCCCCCGGAGTAGATTGAAGAATGATGGGAGGAGTAGAAGGAGGTGGAGGAGGGGTCTACTTTTCCCTCAATACCTTCCCTCCCCCTCCTCAAGAGCTGCGCTCTAATTCGGCGTTACAGGGAGTTG